AATGTTTTAGTTAAAAGTCAAAAGATTCTATTTTACCAGTTCAGTCTCATGTATGTAATCTATCTTCTGTTGTGGTCCTATCTTCCCGTTTAAATTCTGGAACATAGCATTTAACTCCAGACCTGTCCCTACCATTAGGTTGGCCATTTTCTTGGTTGTTTTTGAACTCTTTTTTCTGTGTGTCCGTATTTAGTTTTCCTGGTATAGCACTCCCTTCAAAACTTCTTGGAGAGCTTGTCTGGTATTGGTAAATTCTTTCAGGTTTTGTTTATCTGAGAATGTTTTTGTCTTCTCTTCCCATATTAAGGATAATCTTGTTGGTTGGGTACAGTATTCTTGGTTGAAATTGTTTTTCCCGTAACACTTTGAATATATTTTCCCATTTTTTTCCTGCTCACATTGTTTCTGATGAGAGGTCCGCTGTTAGCCTGTTGAGATATCCTTTGTAGGTAATTTGATGTTTCTCTCTTGCCAATCTTAGTATCTTGTCTTTGTCTGTGGTTTTGGTCAATCTGGCTATAATGTGTCTTGGATAAGATCTTCTTGGGTTGATTCTTTTAGGGGTTCTTTATATTTTTTTTGGTCTGAATCTTTGAATGCCTCTCTAGGTTTGGAAAATTTTCTTCCAGGATTTAATGGAAGAGATGATCAATGGCCTTATTAGTCTCTTTACCTTCTGGAATACCAATTGTTTGGATGTTTAATGGTATCTAATTTCTCATATAGTATTATCATTTTTGGGGGGCTATTTTCTCAGTCTTTGTGGTGGTTTTTTCTAGGCCAGTGATTCTGTCTTCTACATCTGAGATTCCATCCTCTGTATGATCTAGTCTACTTTTTATTTTATTTTATTTTATTTTTTTGCTATAGGGCACATGTGCTCGCCAGAAAGACAGAGAGAGACAGAGAGATAGATAGTGAGAACCGCCCTCCCCCCCTAGTGGGGATGGCCATGCCACAATCCCTTCTCCTCCACTCTCTTCTTGGGATCTTGGGCACGCACGCACATGTGCCTGGTGTGAGTTTAAGTCACGGGGTCTGGGACTTGAATCATGGTCAGCTACATGGGAGTTCAGCAACATAGCCATTACACTAACTGCTGGTCCCGATCTAGTCTACTTTTAATATTTTCAAGGGAGGTCTTGATTTTCTGTATTACAGCCTTCATCTCTAGCAGCTCTGTTTGATTCTTTTTTTATGATATGTATTTCCTCTTTCCGACATGCAAGAACTTCCTCACCTCCTGGAAATTGTTGACTCTTTTCTCCTGTGTCTTCTGGAGTTCATTGTCTCTTTTCTCTTGCATCTCTGTTAGTTTTGTCACTATGACTATTCTAAATTCGTTGTCTGACATTTCCATGAGTTCCATTGTACTGTCTGTGGATGAAGAGGAGTTATTCTTTTCCCTTGGAGGAGAGGTATTTTCTTGCTTTCTCATATTTCTTGTGCCTTTGGGGTGATTTCTGGTCATCAGATGGGTTGTGCATTTCTTCCTAATCCTTGAAGTTCAATCTGAGCATTCAGAGGTGTGCTGGAGGAGGTGATCTGCAATCTCTCTTTGGTTTCATATTTCAGTCTTTGTGGATAAGATTCAGTGGGAATTGAGGAATATTGTCAGAATATAATAGTAATCCGATGTTTGCATACTGTTCACGTAGCTCTACCTAGACACTTAGTTTATGGAGACTGAGCCACCAAATGATGAAGTTAACAGAAAAAGGAAAAGAAAAGAAAAGAAAAAAACTATAAAAAATAAAAAGACAACAAAATAATTTGTATTTTAATTTTAAAAGGCAAAAAATGAAAACTGTGAGGTACACATGCAATATTTCACAGCTGAAGTTCAGTAACCATCTCAGAACGGGCCTTGGTTTGTGACTCTCCTAGATGGGAGTAGGAGAGGCACAAATTAGCAAGTTACAGGAGGGGCCTGAGAGCCCAGAGAATACTTTACCTTAAAAAAATTAAAAAAAAATTAAGAGACACAGAGAGATAGAGAGAGGCAGAGAGAGATGAAGAGAAAGAGACAGAGGTTGCCCTACTAATCTAGAAATGGATCTGGAGGGAGAAGTCTCAGCATAAAGTCTTCATTTTTAGTCCCTGAAAGCAATATTTCACAGCTGAAGTTCAGTAGCTACCTCAGAATGCGCCTTGGTTTGTGCCTTCGATAAATAAAGATTTTCTAACTGAAAGAATTTATAGTCCTAGCTTTCTCAAGTAAACATTGAAAAGTACTAAAACTGATTTCTTGGCTTCTGAATATCCTACTCAGTTACAGAAAATATTTTCTGTCCCAACACTTTCTTAAATTCAAAAGATATTTACTTCCACAGAACATAACAGAGTCTTTATTTCAAACCACTGAGTCCGATTTCATGGCAACACTGCTGGATACCTCGATGACCATAAGTCACATTAGTTGACTGTGGAATTTCTCAATCTTCTTTATATCTTGAACTTGGTTTATTCTATACATCAAACTGAATCATCTGTTACTTTAATACACAAACTCCCACCAGAATGCCTATATCTGAGAACCACACATGCTTTCCTAGGGTCGCTGAGGTAGAGCTTCTTAGCTGCATGGCTGAACTCTTCCTAGGTCTGGTACTACAGCTTCGTGGCCTGGGCACAGGAGGCAAGGTCATGGGATTGGTGGTGATATGACCGAACCCAGCTGCCCATCTTCCTCCTATGACTGAGGCTGGAGTCTCAGGATCCATCCTCTCTTGAGCAGTGCTTTACTGCTGCACTGCAGAGCTGGCCCAGCTTGGGATCTTCAGCACGTTACTTCTTGGAGCCTCATGTTCTTTCTCATGAATAATAATGTTAATACTAACATCTACCTCTGAGGTCTGTGGCAAGGATTAAGTGTTTTAATGCAGGTAAAGAGTGTGCACATGCCTGGAAGAGCTCCTACCTAATGGAAATCTTGACTCTGCAAGGTGGGTGTGCCTGAGCATGGCATTGCCCCTGAGCTCTGCTAGAGAGGCTGAAGGAAACCCTGGCAGGTCCTCAGGGAAGAACTTCATCTCAAGAGTTCTGACTTTCAAGGCTCTCCTGCCTAGAGGATCATCCAGCTCCCATTTCTTCCTCTCCAGCAGCTATGCAGGGACTGAGAAGGTATATTGTCCTCTCCCATTGCTCCCCTGAAACTCAGGCCAGAATGAGATTTCCCAGAGATTCCTGTCTTTCAGGCCATAGTCCCAGCCCTGCTGCCCTGTCAGCCATGGAAGACCTCATCTTCTATGCTGTCCAGAAGGGGTACCTGTCACCCGGATATGCCCAACCACTTCTTGTGAAAGGCGAGAGCTGCTTGGCCCCTCAGAAGATGAGTCCAAAGAAAGGTAAGACCTTTACCCCTACAGGGCCACCCTCCAGACCTACTGACTCACAGATGCCAATGGAAATGGCCTTTTGAGGCAGGCTCTTTTTGTATTTCTCCTGATAGGTAACTGACCCCTCAACCTTCTGAACTTTTAGGGCTGGTAAACCTTGAGAGAGACCCTCCAGGTCACCTCTTAATCCCTCAGAATCATGGAATGATATAACCATGCATTATTCCTAGCATCATATATGTGCATTTGTTTCTTCAACATTGAACAATTATTTACTTAGAACTCATGGGACCCTGAAGATGCACCAAAGAACAAAATACACACAAATACCCAACTGCATCAAGATTTTTTTTTTTTTAAGATTTTTTTCTATAGGGCATGTGTGCTCACTGGACAGAGACAGAAAGACAGAAAGAGAGAAACACCTGCCAGTGGGGATGGTCACACCACAATCCCTTTCCCCATTCTCCTCCTGAGATCTTGGGCACACATGCACACAAACCTTGTGTGAATTTCAAGCCATTGGGTCAAGAGCCTGAACTGCGGTCAGCCACATGGGAGTCCAGCAGCATAACCATTCCACCATCTTCTGGTCCCCTCTCAAGTTTTAATCTAGAGGAAAAACAAAGACAATAAACAAACACATGAAATATTTGATATGTTACATGGTGAAAAGTGCTTCAGAGGAAAAAGAAAGCATGGAGAGGATAGGATATAATTATACACATATTTATATTTAATATGTTTATACACAAATATAAGCAGCACAACATACATTTCTGAATACAATAACTAGAACAACACTAATATTCTGAAATATTGATTAAAACTTAAGTTACCACTTACACTGACTTTTTAAAAATTTTATTTAAATTTATTTATTTGCATTCATTCACTGTACACCATTACAGCATACAAAATGAGATTTTCCATCCAGAGTACACTGTATATTGCCTCAGTCAAGCACATGAACAAACATATTATTGTCAGCAAATAATTTTCCTTTTCTTGTTTTCTGTATGTTTTGCTTTTTTCCCCCCATCCTTGATTCCCTATCTCTTACCCTCTGGCATCTCCTACTCTCCTTCCACACTGTCTCTGGTATCTATGTTTGCTTTCTATACTGTTTTTCCCCCACATTTTATTGAATTACTAAAGACCTTAATTAATCTAAATATTTTCATAGCAAACAGAGCTGATATATACATTTCCATGAACACAAGTTTAACTTTGGGCATCCTATAAAGCAGCACCTAGCTGGGGCTATATATCTTACTGCAGTCATTGAATAGATTTTTTTTTCTGTTTTTTTTGTAACTTAATTTACATTTTTCCCTAAGCATCATCACAGCATACAAAATGTGATTTCCCATCCAGAATATACTGTATAATGACTTAATAATGCATATTATTATAAAAAGTTTCCATTTCTAGTTCCTACAATTATTTTTACCCCTCTTTCTGACCCTCTGTCCTTTCCTACCCTCTTCTCACACTATCTTTGGTGTCTACAATTGTCTTCCATTCCTTTCCCACTCACATTGTATTGATCACACAATTTCTTACATAATCTAACTACTTTCAATGGTGAATTCACTCATTACTATTAAGAAAACCAGTTTTAACTTAAATCAAAGAAATGCCAAGGAATTTTGCTTAAAGCCAGGAAACAGGTTAGGATTCTGTTCAAAAGGTAGGTGCATGAACCTATCAGTCTCATGTACTTTTATCTTCTGTTCTGGTTCAATTTTCCTGATTAAATTCTGGGATATGATATTCAACTCCACTGACTTTAAAGGAAGAGTTTAATGTAATTTAGGTTAAAAAAGTAGGTACTATTTTGGCTTTAACAAGTGTGGCATCAAAAACAGTAAAGCTAATAAGAATAAGTATTTTCTGCCTTTCTATGACTTAATAAAGCTTGAAAGAAAATGAACTCTGCTAAATTAAAGCCTCAAATAAATTTGATCTCTGCCTTTGGACTGATGCCATCTGCCAATATTAATGATTGCTTACGTGACAGAGAATTTTATGGATTAGAAATCATTCTCAAAGACATGCTTTTGTTTAAAGCTACAGCCTAATTCTTCAAAAGTGCTTTGTTACATATGTGAACACTTGCATACACACACACACAGTCACACACTTGTAACAAACATTCAGATAAATAGTATACTTTGAAAATATCCATAGTCCTAGTGAAGTACTACTTGGTCTTTAAAAAGAATGAAATGCCGTCATTCAATGCCATGACCTGCTCAGCAGAACGCATTTTTCTGAGTGTGTGTGTGTGTGGGGTGCGCTGTGGATTGAAGTAAATATAAAAGTAAACACATGAAGACATTCAAGTATAGGAAAGCAAGGATCGGGCAGGCCTGAAGAAGAAAGCCACGACCCTGAGATGGCCTCGTGTTTATTCTTTTAAAGGGAAGAAAATGGAGGAAGAGGAAATGGAATGCAAAATCAGTTTTTGGATGTAAATCATCTGAAGATGTGAAAATGACTGGTGCCATGTAGTTTCTCTAATCTTTCTGGGGGTGATTCTGTGACTCCTTTAACCTGATACTGCTCTGCAGTACAACACACAGAGTGTTCATATGTTAATTGCTTTCTTTGCCATACAAATGATAGCTCACAGAACTGAGTTTCTGCATGTGTTTGTAGGTCACCATGTTTGCTAAGGATGGCCACTCTCCACAATTCAGAGCAAATGGAGGAGTGTAGAGGACATGATAAATGAAATAAGCCAGGCACAGAAAGACAAATATTGCATATTTTCACTCACATGTAGGAGCTAAAAATATTGACCTTGTAGGAGAATATAGGATAGTGTGGTTATAAGAAGTTGGGGATGTTAGTGGGAAGAGGCACAGGGTGATGAATGAAGCAATTCAATTTAGTAATCTTATAAATATTCATTTTAATTTTTTTGGTAAAGTTGCTGTTAATTGAAAGAATCTTCATGTTAAAAATTTGTTTTGGATACTAACCCTACTTTAGTTTCAACTAAACTATCCCAGTTTGAATCGTTTTATTCTCTATTCATCCATTCTTCAGATGCCTTTAGATAAAAATTCTCAATTAAAAACAACAACAATGATGGACACAACTAAAGTCCCCCAAACTAACATTCATGTTCTATTGCTAGGATATAATCCATTTCCAAGTCCCTACAGTCAGGCTTAGGGTAGGATGACCAGAGGGTGGTGGGGATGAGGGGATCCTGAGGGTTAGTTTTATCAGTCTTCTGTAGTGAGGTAGTTGATGTGGATGGGCAACACTAATCACCTACATCCACACTCTTACTCTTCCACAGCTTGTCTCAACATTGTCTTGCGGTCTTCTTGGGGGGCCAGAGAGACCTACTGCCCCCAAATGAACCTTCCAGCTAAGTATGTTATCATCATTCACACTGCTGGGAAAACCTGCAACACATCTGAAGAGTGCCACCTGCTGGTTCAAGACATCCAGTCCTTCCACATGGACAGATTCAACTCATGCGACATTGGGTATAAGTAAGTGGACCTGAGGACAATGGGCTTCTATTCCTTCATTTCAGAAACAATCTTTGAAAGAAAGGAAAAAGGAACTATTATTTGCTGAATACTCACCATATGAGAAGTGGTTTATGTGTATCCACACTGATTTCTCACACAACCCTGGGAGGGTCTTATTTAGGGAGATAGCTAAATTCTCCCCAAGCATATTCTCAAAACTAATATGTATGTATGTATGTATGTATGTATGTATGTATGTATGTATTTATTATCTTCCAGAGGGTGTGTGTGCTCTCCAGAGTGGAGGGTTGGCCACAGGGACGAGAGAAAGTCATACCTCAATCCCTTCTTGCCCATTTCTCCCTCCTTTCCTGGATTCTCAGCACTTGAATCCAGAGTGTTTTTCAGACCACTGGGTCTGGGACAATTAACTATGGAGCCAGCCACTTTAACCGTCATGCCATTGGGTGACTTTTGTTTCATTTTAAAGGTATTAGTAGTATATTAAAGTTATCAATATACTATTAATAAGGCTCTACTGGAAAGGTATTAGAGGAAATAGAATGCATGAAAAATGGTGAAAGCCATAGAAAAGATCATCTAAGGACTGTGCCTTTTTCATGTAATCACCTCCCACTGCTCAGTGCTCAGGCTCTGTCCTCAGTTTGGCCACAACCTGAAGCTTGCTCCCCTTGTATTAGGCTTGTGCTGATCCTCTGCAGCTGGAGGCTGTCAGCCTCCTTGGGGAGAATATCTTTCTTGTCAGAAGGCATAGGGAGAGACCAGACTGCAGCTTTTGATTCCTTTAATACCAAGCTCTGTGATTCTTTAATAAAGAGCACACTGACCTAATGGAATAGTAGAAATTTCTTGAAGGGTGCTTTCAGAGCTCACAGAAAAGCCTTCTAGGGTTAGATCCTATCAACAGTTCCTTCAGAAACGATCTCACTAACCTTTACTTCTTTAGACAAGCCACCACTGGCCAATATAGCATATTCATACACTGGAGTAGAAGTAGCTCCTTCCTCAAGGAGCATTCATGGCTTAGTGCATAGAGCTGGATTTTAGTCCCTATTTGGCTTCAAGTCAGGACCTTTGTGCAGAATGCAGCCTGCAGCTGCATGCAGGGGCCTTGCCTTAGATAGACTTGACATTACTTGGTATATGCTCCTAGGTTGTCTGCCTCTCCTCTCTCAACCCCCACTTTAGTAGAAGCCCTTTCAAGATAGGAGAAAACTTTCCCTCCATTCATCATCTGTTAGGACTTACCCAATGGTTTGCTAGGTCTTGCCAAGCAGGATTATTCAGTGTTATTCACTTTTTATTAGAGTGAACACCTGAGAATTGACTATAACTTTAGAAATCCTAAACTAGAAAATGACAGAGACTGGGTGGGGTGGTTGGGAGAGGTCCTTTCCCTTCTTTTACTCAGATTTCAGAGGACACCTTCCAGTCCCTTGACTTTTTTTTTTTTTTCAGAGATTTTTGCTATAGGGCACCTGTGCTTACTGGAGAGACAGAAAGACAGAAAGTGAGAAGTCACCCCCTGGGGGGATGGCCACGCTGCAATCCCTTCTCCTCCACTCTCCTCTAGGGATTTTGGGCATGCACGCATATGTACCAACGTGAGTTTAATCCACTGGGCCTGGGACTCGAACTGTGGTGAACTATGTGGGAGTCCAGCAATGTAACCATTATGCCATCTGCTGGTTCCTTGACTTTTGACCATTTATCATGTCACCTTCTATTATAACTTCATGACTGTATCATTTTTTTACCTTGAGATGGTCACTGGTCAGGAATAAACCTTCACTTTCTCATAGGTTATAATTCATTGAAAGCACTATTGAGGGTCTTCTATGTGCACCCTAGGAATGTCATCTGATACAACACAAATGTGTTCTTGCCATCATGGAGCTCATATTATATTGAGGGAGAAAAATAATTAAACAGACCCAGCCTGGTGACACAGTCCACAGCAAACTGAACTGCAGTGCTGGAAGCTGTATGGCCACCTGTGGATTCAGATCCCTGGGTCAGCTTGGAAACATGCTGGGTACATGTGCCCTTACCCAAGATCTTGATTAGTTAGAGGAATGGGAAAAGGGATCTCAATTGTGATGGGACCCCCTTGAGGGTGTTTCATTCTCTTTCTGGTGTTCACACACACATATTCTCTATCTGAAGAAAATTAGAAAACTAAAAGAATCTATACAACTAAGTCCTAACAGGTGCATTAAGTGTTATGGTAGAGGACACATGGGGGATAAGAAGGTTGTCATGGGGAATGAACTGCTCCCTGGAAGCATATCATTTTAGCTGGGACCTGAGTGGTGAGAGGGAGTGAGTTAAAGGAGGAGAGGGAAGAGTATCTCAGACAGAGGGAAAATACCTCTGTACAAAGGCCTAGATTCCAGGCTAAGAATGGTGTCTTTGTGGAACTGAGAGAAGTTTGTTATGATAAATATGATACCAAAAGACATGAGGTTGAGGAGGCAAACAGGGCCATATCAAGTAACTTAAGCTAGGGAGTTTAGACTTGGTGCCAGGGACTAAAGCAGGGTTTTCATATGATACACTTTGTATTTTAGAAAGACTACTCTGGCTATTGTTCCAGAAATGGAGACAGTGAGACTGATCTGATCTCACTGCAACAATCCAGGGAAGATGGGGTGGTGCTATGGTTGGGGTGGTGGCACCTGGAGAGAAGAGGAAGAACTTGAGGTTAATGGAGATCAATAGTCAATGACTGAGATGAAAGGGAACATCAGGGGGCATGGTTGGGAGACAGCATTGAAGATCTGGTTAATGAGTGGGTGAGGTTGGAAGGCTGATGGCTGTGTTCCTGACTGGGACTAGTGGTGAATGGGTGGTGGTACCTTTCACAAAAAAAGGGGAATAGGTTGGGAAGAAATGATCCCAGCTGTGAACATATGGACTTTCATGGACGGCAACTGAAGCCAAGAAATTAGATGGGCTATTCCTGAGAGAATGTGTTGAATGAAGAAAGAAGAGGGCTTAAGTAGCACCCTGAGACATCTTACATTTAAGAAAAGGACACAGGAAGATGAGGTGCTCAGATGGATCAGCTAGACAGAGTGGAAAGTCAGGAGTGTGTGGTGTGATGGAGGCTAAGGGAAGAGAATGTGTGGAGAATGCTAGAAGAGTTGACAGGTCAAATGCACAGAGAAGTCAAGTCAGGTAAAACTGGAGAAGGTACATTGTACAATATTCCTGCCTTGACTGTAGGGAATACATCCCAAGACCCCTGGTGGACTCCTGAAACCACTGATAGTATCCAACACTATATATACTACATTTTTTCCCTATATACACACTCCTAAGTGATTAATGGACAGGTAGCATATGCGGCTGTGGGCATGCTGGACAAAGAGGTAATTTACCTTCCAGCTCAAGTGGAATGGAGCAAGATGGCATAAGATTCCATTACACTATTCAGAATGGAGTGCAGTTTAAGACTTTTGGAATTTTTGACAATATTTTTGGGCTGCAATTGACCGTGGATAACCGAAACCATGGAATGAGAAATCATGGACACGTAGAGGTGTACTATACTTAATAGTAAGGAGACCCTGGATCACCTTGGGGTACACTGTTCTACTGGTGAGGTGAGGGAAAGGACGGGGGTTGAAAACTGTCATTATCTGTTTTCTTCATTGACCTTGAGCTACTGTGGGCAGCAGTGGCATGCTGCAGGTGGATAAGTGGGTTCTTGCTCATAAGAACTGATCGTTAGAGATTCTAGAATTTTGATAGCCAGTTGTTAAATCACTGGTAGCTTCAAAGCAGCCATAGTGGAAGTTTTACACCACAGAAATCAGCAGATACTATAAGACAGAATTCCTCTCTCTCCACCTCCCCTTTCCCACCACCTCCCCTATCCCATAAGCTTATTTACTAGCACTCCATTGGTAAGGACTCTGTCTTAGTTTCTGTAACTCATTGCTTAGAATTTAATAGGCAATCAATGTCTGAAGAATAAAGACATGAATGAATTAATGAGTGAAAGAGATAAGCAGCCTCAGAGTGACTATTTTTTAAAGTTTATTCATTTATTTCTTGAGAGATGAGAGAGAGAGAGAGAGAGAGAGAGAGAGACCCCCTACATAGTTCTCATGCTTCCATCCAACCTCGGCCTTAGACCAAATCACAGGGATATGTGTGTGCACCAGTGTGTACAGGCTGGCTTCAGGACATGAACCTGGCACCTTCCCATGTGGGTCCAGCATCACAGAACACTGTGTTGCTGCTGTGCCACCGTCTGGAACCCCTGAGTGCCTCTTTTTTCATGCTGGTCATTATCTCCTCTTTTTGTCCTCCAGCTTTCTTGTGGGCCAGGATGGTGTTGTCTATGAAGGGGTGGGCTGGAATGTCCAAAGCTCTCGCACCCCTGGCTACAATGACATTGCCCTAGACATCGCCTTCATGGGCACTTTTGCTGGTAAGTGGATGTACTGGTCAGGGATGGTCGTGTATGAGGTTCAAGGGAGAGTGTCTGACATGGAAGACAAAAGCATCAGCTGTAGCCATCATTTAAATGCCTGTATGAGTTGCATTGACCCAGCTTCCAATCTGACATTTCATGAAACAGATGGTGGTGACCTCCAGACAAAGTGCTCACCTTAAATCTACCTCCTCATGCCCAGCCACATGTCTGCCTTCCAATACTTGAGGAGCATGTAATGTGAAGGGGGAAGCTTCTTGTGTATGTTTCTGGCTTTTGATCAGCATGTGCAGCCTCTCTTGGTTACCATGGCCACAATGTGAAGACACAAATTTCTGGTCTCTGCATTGAGAGTGCACAATGCAAATTGCCATGGCTTAGGGTCTTGGCTAGAATTGGTTTAGACTCGGGGACCTCTTGCTGAACCTCTGGGAAGAGGAGATTATGTCACCAGGCTTGTTCACAGCGATACTAAAATGGGCATCAATGAGGCAAGAGGTCACCCGGGTCTGTGCCTGCAGATGTGGCTGAGCATGGATAGGGCATGTGAGAGTACAGGCAGCACACTGTGGCTGCTTCTCCACCTGGGCACTGCTGACATTTGGATTAGATAATTCTTGATTGTGGGGGATGTTCTGTGTGGTGTGGCATATTTAAAGTATCCCTGGCTCCTGCTAGTTGGAAGACAGCAGCATCTCCCCAACTCTAAGTTTCGATAAACAAAATGATCAAAAATGAGTATTTCCAAATATCCCCCAGGGGGCTAATTTACTGCAGTAGAGAACTACCAGGATAAACTTTTGTAGTGGACCAAGGCTTTGTACATCTCCAGAAGAATCATAAATACAAAAGCTCTTCAAAAAGACCATGGAAAGTAAAATTAAAGTACAAGTTTGTTTTGATATAAAAAATTGAAAATTTATGTATTTTTAAAAAACGTGCATTTTATTTATTTATTTTTCAATTTTTGCTGTAGGGTGCAAGTGCTTAATAGAGAGAGAGTCAGAAAGCACTTCTGAGTGGGACTGTCCATGCCTCAATCCCTTCTCATCTATTCTCCCTTCAGGATTTTGGGCATTTATGCACATACACGTGGTGCGATTTTCAAACCACCAGGTCTGGGACTTGAACTTGCAGTCGGCCATGTGGCATCCAGTTGTTTTAACCTACATGCCACTGACTGAACTCATAACATGTGTTATCTATGAACTTTCTAGACTACCAAAGGCTTGGCCTTTTTGACTCAGGAAAACTTTGGCATGTAGAAACCTAAAGTTTTGAACTGGTTTTCTGTCAAAAAAAAACCAAACAGGACCACTGACAGTGGAGTGGGTAGAGTGAGGTACCTAGAAGTGTGCTCTGTCCTGGGCAAACGTTCTGGAGTCCTGCGATCAATGGGCTGGCTATGTTTTGCAGGTACCCCGCCCAATGCCGCTGCACTGGAGGCAGCTCAGGACCTGATCCGCTGTGCCGTGGAAAAGGGGTATCTGACTCCCAACTACCTGCTGGTGGGCCACAGTGATGTGACCAACACCCTCTCCCCTGGGCAGGCCTTGTACAACATCATCAGCACCTGGCCTCACTTCAAGCACTGAGTGAGGCCCTGGCTCTACTTTCTGCTGGGTTTCTCTTGTCTGCATCATCCAGTCCACCCTGACCCACCTGTGTCCCCCTCCTTTGCTAGGCTAGTCTTCTTCTCCTTTCTCAAGTTAGTTAGATTGCTTCCTTGCCAGCTAACATCCTACACCCTGAGCTGTGCGTTCATGGCCCCCTGAGTCTAGGCCACCTTCCTCCGTCCTCATCTTCCTCTCCCCTGGACACCCATCCCCTCAGCCAGATGAAATGTGAGGCTGGTCCTTCTTTCCCATTGTCTACGCCCCTCTGCCTGGGATACCCTCTCCTGCTGTTGGCCCAGAAACCCCCGCCCTTCACTGTGACCCAGGCTGGTGTGCCCACCTCCCCTCTCTTCTCACACACTAACCTGCACGTGTGGTTGGAGCTTATACTGATGGGCTGTGGTTGCCTCTATCTCTCTGCTGGATGTGAGTTTCTGTAGGGGAGGAGCTGTTAATCCATGTCTGTATCCTCAGTTCCTAAGCACTGATTAAACAGGTACAGGTGTTTGTTGAATAAATGGGTGAATACATGATGGAGTAGATCCAAGTCCCTGTTCCCCTTATCAGTTTACTTTATCATCCCCTCTTTGGGACAGTTTTTCCTGGATAGTGATCTTTCCTGTCAGCATCCTCTCCATTCCTGTTCCCTTGCAATGTAAGGCTCAGGGCTGGCTCTGGTTTCTTGTTGTGGATGCCATGTCCCTAGGGTTCCATTCTGGCCCTAGAATACCCAGGGTCAGGATAGGGCACACGAGCTGCCCAATGCCTGCTGCCTACCCTTGCTTGGCCAGATCCTTCTGGGCATTGAGCTGAGTGAGGGCACAGAGCCTTGGAGCTCTGCAGCTCTCCATGCCTGGGCGCTTTTTCCTACTGACTGGAAAAATTGTCTTTATTTATTTATTTTTCTGCATCTTGATCTGGAAACAAGGTGAAGAGAGTAAGATAAAAACAGAAGAGCTATATAAAAGGAATTTGAAAAGTAGTTTGTCTTGTTAAACATTCCCTTCTAGTTTCCTTCTAGAACAAATCCCCAGAGCTGAAAACCGCTGCAAACAGAATCTAATATAGTTCAGGAATAAGAGATTAAAATGAGAAAAGCTCAGAGACAAGTGGGGAAGAGAAGTGGATGAGGATCTCATCCACTAAACCATCATTTTGATGAACACTTACTTGACAAAAGTAATAAAAAAGGGTGCTCTAGAGTGGTAAAATTAGAAAAACTATTGAAACCATGTCTCCTTTAAAGTTCAGGAAAATGAATTTCAAACTAAGCAACAGAGAAGAACTGAGTTCTAACTCCTAAAGTATTATAAAACAAAATTAGAAGCAGAAGCAGAAACGAGAAATGAAAGCATGGCATAAAGATTTACTCATGAATGAAAACTACAAACCAAAAATCTCAAACTGAGCTAAACAAATCAAGAAAATGATGCAAGATATGACAGAATAATGAATAAGATGTAAAACTGAGAAATGAGGTAATGGAACTCAGACTTACAGCCTCCAGAATTGTGAGAAATATCTGTTATTTGTGTCACCCGGTCTATGATATTTTGTTACAGCAGCTGAACTGACTAAGACACCAATACCTCTCCATTTAAAATTTTAGGTCTCCAGATTTAAAAAATAACACTGATTGAGTCAATGGAAGTGTAAAAATAAAAACAATATGCAGACACAATAAATTGTGACTCTTGGTTGTCAAGTTGTAACCTCTGTTCTGTGGGATGGTTGTTAGTGCAGTAACCTGGGATCCCTTTTCCGACTATGAGCAATTTTGTGCATCATCAGCACCTGGCCTCACTTCAAGCACTGAGTGAGGCCCTGGCTCTACTTTCTGCTGGGTTTCTCTTGTCTGCATCATCCAGTCCACCCTGACCCACCTGTGTCCCCCTCCTTTGCTAGGCTAGTCTTCTTCTCCTTTCTCAAGTTAGTTAGATTGCTTCCTTGCCAGCTAACATCCTACACCCTGAGCTGTGCGTTCATGGCCCCCTGAGTCTAGGCCACCTTCCTCCGTCCTCATCTTCCTCTCCCCTGGACACCCATCCCCTCAGCCAGATGAAATGTGAGGCTGGTCCTTCTTTCCCATTGTCTACGCCCCTCTGCCTGGGATACCCTCTCCTGCTGTTGGCCCAGAAACCCCCGCCCTTCACTGTGACCCAGGCTGGTGTGCCCACCTCCCCTCTCTTCTCACACACTAACCTGCACGTGTGGTTGGAGCTTATACTGATGGGCTGTGGTTGCCTCTATCTCTCTGCTGGATGTGAGTTTCTGTAGGGGAGGAGCTGTTAATCCATGTCTGTATCCTCAGTTCCTAAGCACTGATTAAACAGGTACAGGTGTTTGTTGAATAAATGGGTGAATACATGATGGAGTAGATCCAAGTCCCTGTTCCCCTTATCAGTTTACTTTATCATCCCCTCTTTGGGACAGTTTTTCCTGGATAGTGATCTTTCCTGTCAGCATCCTCTCCATTCCTGTTCCCTTGCAATGTAAGGCTCAGGGCTGGCTCTGGTTTCTTGTTGTGGATGCCATGTCCCTAGGGTTCCATTCTGGCCCTAGAATACCCAGGGTCAGGATAGGGCACACGAGCTGCCCAATGCCTGCTGCCTACCCTTGCTTGGCCAGATCCTTCTGGGCATTGAGCTGAGTGAGGGCACAGAGCCTTGGAGCTCTGCAGCTCTCCATGCCTGGGCGCTTTTTCCTACTGACTGGAAAAATTGTCTTTATTTATTTATTTTTCTGCATCTTGATCTGGAAACAAGGTGAAGAGAGTAAGATAAAAACAGAAGAGCTATATAAAAGGAATTTGAAAAGTAGTTTGTCTTGTTAAACATTCCCTTCTAGTTTCCTTCTAGAACAAATCCCCAGAGCTGAAAACCGCTGCAAACAGAATCTAATATAGTTCAGGAATAAGAGATTAAAATGAGAAAAGCTCAGAGACAAGTGGGGAAGAGAAGTGGATGAGGATCTCATCCACTAAACCATCATTTTGATGAACACTTACTTGACAAAAGTAATAAAAAAGGGTGCTCTAGAGTGGTAAAATTAGAAAAACTATTGAAACCATGTCTCCTTTAAAGTTCAGGAAAATGAATTTCAAACTAAGCAACAGAGAAGAACTGAGTTCTAACTCCTAAAGTATTATAAAACAAAATTAGAAGCAGAAGCAGAAACGAGAAATGAAAGCATGGCATAAAGATTTACTCATGAATGAAAACTACAAACCAAAAATCTCAAACTGAGCTAAACAAATCAAGAAAATGATGCAAGATATGACAGAATAATGAATAAGATGTAAAACTGAGAAATGAGGTAATGGAACTCAGACTTACAGCCTCCAGAATTGTGAGAAATATCTGTTATTTGTGTCACCCGGTCTATGATATTTTGTTACAGCAGCTGAACTGACTAAGACACCAATACCTCTCCATTTAAAATTTTAGGTCTCCAGATTTAAAAAATAACACTGATTGAGTCAATGGAAGTGTAAAAATAAAAACAATATGCAGACACAATAAATTGTGACTCTTGGTTGTCAAGTTGTAACCTCTGTTCTGTGGGATGGTTGTTAGTGCAGTAACCTGGGATCCCTTTTCCGACTATGAGCAATTTTGTGGTGGAGTTCTTGTCTTGTTTGGCTCTGTATTCTAAAACACCTAGCCAGTAACAGGGATAAAGTGCTTGGTAAATATTTGCAATTTTTTTGAGTCCATTTTAAGCATTGCCTTCTGTGAGATTTCATTTCTGAAGCTTTCCTGTCTACCACCTGACCCTAGAACTGCATCCCTGAGAGAAGGCTTTTGGAGCTCTCTTGACACTGTGTGCATCCTTCTAGGTCAAACTGTCCAGCACCCTGCTTTATGATTGTTGATGTCTCTGTATTTCCCCTGAATTATGGTCTCCTCAAGGCCAGGACTTATTTTGGACTCTACTCTCAATGGTTAGCATAGTATTGGGCAGTGCCTGGCCCAGAGATGATGCTGGAGGAATATTTGCTGAATAACAAAGGCATGAATGAGTGAATGAACAAATGAATGAATACCGGGTCTTTTCACCTTTGCCTTGTAATTTTTCTCAGAGCCACTGGCTGCGGTTACCTATACCCACATGATATACATTATGTATGTATAATCACATTATATGTAACATTACCCATTATGTGAAGGGACCTCAGAAAGTTTACAGACAAATGAAATTAAAGTATGAGTTCGTTTTGACGCTAAGTGTTTGAAATGCATGCTTAGTTTTTTCCCCATTGTATTCATTTCCATGAGTTTTATGAAGACCCCCTACAGCTTCTATATGTAATATATTTGGTTCAGGTGGACAGGAGAAGGAAGTAGGATCAGCAGAAGTCTGGTGGGGTAAGATGGGCCAATAGCCAAGATTCCAGTTACTGTGGGCCATCCGTGGTGGGAATCCCACATCATAGGTATTGGGCATGTAACTGTTTCAACCTCTGCAGGGCTGAAAGGCCCAAGGTTCTGACCCTTAGCCTGATAGATAGGAACCCTCACCCCAACTTGTTTCTTCACTGTTACCATGGCTACGGTTAAGAATAAGGGAATGTGAAGGATAGATTCTTCTCCTCAGGGTCCTTATCAGTCATGAAAGGAGGCAACTCTGCTAGTGCATGAAAAGAGGCACCTGACCTGGTCTGGTCACTGGATGAGAGCTATTGAAGTTTGTCCAGATGGGTTAGTTAAACAAAAACAAAACAAAACAAAACAAAGTAAAACAGAGATTTAGATGCATAGGATCAAACCCGCACTCTGCTCCCATCTCAGGACAGAGGGCTTCTATGTCTCTTTCCATTGCCACAACCTGATGATGCCATTTTTCTCCTTCTAGATGGGAATCGATGGATTTTGAGATTTAATTTTACCCTTCCCAGCCACCAGGATGTGGTCAGGTCTCATTTAACCAGATACTTAGAGTTATTGATCCAGGTTCTCTTCCTTTACATCTGAACGATC